ATTAGCATATTATTTTGTTTATCAAAATGCATAATATAAATATGTAAACAAATTGAGTTAATTTCTCCAACAAAAAAAAAAGAGAAAAATAGAAAGGGAAAAAGAAAGGATAATAAACAGAGACGATGTTGCTCCATTTTATTTCATTTCATTTATTCATGTATTTTACTAAGTAGTTGTTTGTGCATTTTATAATTAACTTAAATATTGAATTTAAACGAAAGCAATGCGAAGAATGATGAGAGGGTGAAAAAGGAAGGAAAAAAAAACGGATGAAAATGGGACAAATAAAGCCTATTATTATTTTTTAAATCAAACATTTATTGTTTTTCTTTTTTTGCAAATATATTAATTCATAATGATAATAACAATAACAATAATAGTATTATCATCATTGTTAGATAATAATCTCCTCGATTTCGGCTATTTTTCCAATTTTTTCTTTTTCATTCCCTCTCCACTCTTTTTTCATTTTAAAAAAAAAAAATTTTTTTTTTCGAAAGTATAATGTTGATTCAGTGATGTTTACTGTATCGATAAATTTGAGGAAAGTAAGCAAAAGCGATAGGATTTTTGAAATGTGAAAAAAAAACGAAATGAAATGAAATGAAATGAAAGAGGCTATTGTTATTGCGGAAAATGTAATCCAAATAGCATTTAGATGAATCATATTCAATCATTATTGTCTGTTCCAACTCTAACAATTGAATCAACAGTCTGTCCTATCAATCCGCCACAACCAATATCGCAATCATCACAACAACAGCAACAACAACAACAACAACAACAGCAGCAGGAGCAACAACAACAACAGCAGGAGCAACAACAACAACAACAGCAGGAGCAACAACAACAACAACAACAACAACAACAACAACAACAGGTGGTACAGCAACAACATCAATCGGTAATAATGAATTCATCACGAGCAGTCGGCGAGCCATCATTTTCGTCATTTACATCCGTTACTGATCTACATGGTATCACGGAATGTTGTGCATCAAGTATTTCCTCTTTTTTTTTTTAAGCTTTAACAAATTTAATTTTTTTAAAAATTTTTTAAAAATTTGTAAATTTTAAAACTATTATAAATGTAAAGGGTGCTATTATTTATTTGCAATAATTTGATATTATGATTAAATATAGAGTTTACATATCATATAGAATATTACTATTAATATATCCTTCATAAATGAACTGTAATATAACAGATAAATACGGTGAACAGATAATACAGTAGGTGCAAGCAAATATAGTACAGTAAT